CCTTCAGAGAGTTCTGGGAGCAATACAAAGAGCTGAAGAAAGGAATGACTATACCCAAGGGGTTGCAGAAAGAATTCCAAGGAGGGTATAACAGTGTAAAAGTACAGCTATAGCAAGAATGTGAACAAAAATAATGACAGGATTCAATACTCATCTTTCATTAATTACTTTAAATATTAATGGACTGAACTTCTCAGTCAAAAGACACAGACTATATGAATGGATTAAGAAACAAAACCCATCTTTTTGTTGTCTGCAAGAAACTCATCTCACTTTCAAGGACAGACACTATCTCAAAGTGAAAGGATGGAAAAAAACATACCAAGCAAATGGCACTAATAAAAAAGCAGGCATAGCAATTCTAAAATCTGAAAAAATAGACTTTAAAACTAATCAGAAGAAACAAAGAGGGCCACTTCATTCTGATCAAAGGAACAATGAATCAAGAAGATATTACAATCATGAACATATATTCACCAAACTCTGGTGCACCCAACCTCATAAAAACAATACTATAGGATTTTAAGACGCAGATTAATCCCAACTCATTAATAGTAGGGGACTTCAATACCCCAGTGTCTCCATTAGATAGGTCAACAGGGCAGAAAGTTAACAGAGAGACATCTGAATGAAACAATACCACATATCAAATGGACTTAACAGACATCTACCGAGTATTCCACCCAAGCACCAAAGGACATACTTTCTACTCAGCACCCCATGGAACCTTCTCCAAAATCGACCATATACTGGGGCACAAAACAAACCTCACCAAATACAACCTCAACAAATACAAAAAGATTGAAATAATTCCATGCAATAAAGCTTACAATCAACACCCGGAGAACCCCTAATCACCACATGAACACATGGAGATTAAACAACACACTCCTGAATGATGAATGGGTCAAAAGAGAAATTAAGAAAGAAATAAAAGTATTCCTGGAATTAAATGAAAAGGACAATACGACACGAGAAAACCTCTGGGACATGCTGAAAGCGGTCCTTAGAGGGAAGTTTACAGCTCCAAGTACCTACATCAAAAAATCAGAAAGAACACAAATAAATGACTTAATATTGCAATTCAACACACTTGAAAAGCAATAGCAAATGAAGCCAAACACAGCAGACAAGAAGAAATAACAAAAATCAGGGCAGAAATGAATGAAATTGAAACAAAGAAAACAATACAAAGAAGCA